AGTGTAGCAGAACGCGGCACCACTTGCGCCAGCGCAACTGCACGCTGCGACGGTCAACGTGCCAGGATGGTTTTGTAGAGACCGGGTTCCGCGCCGCGCGATGCGGTCGTCTGCAGTGCCCCCGCTGGCCCAGCACACATCCGCTCACCCGGCTGGTTGCGCGTGCGCCATCGAAAGGGGCGCCCTGGCCGTTCTTTGCCCGGCCCTCCGCCCCCACAGCGACTGCAGAGGTTTTCTACTTTTTGGTGTTGCTGGGGTCCGGGGTGCACTAAGTGCTCCTATTGTCTGCGGGCGCATCGCGTGCCGGGTGGGCTGTGCGTGATGTGGGGGCGGCGGGTGCCGCCCAAGCGGTTGCTCTGCTCTCGGGCCGCTTGTTTAGCAGCCGGCGTTTCGGGCACCCGGAGGCGCGGCCAGACCCGCGCCCCAGTGGCAGGGCGGCGTCGGGTAGAGGCAGGGCGGGGCGGCGGCGCGCCCCGGGTGCGGGAAGCAGCGCGCGCCGTGGTGGGTGCCCCGGCAGGTAGGCGTGCGCCCCCCAGCAGCCGCTGTGCCGCTTGCAGGGGAAGGGGGAATGCGGGCGCACGCGTCACCTGCGCCCTCCACGGCGGTGGGCGCTTCGCGCGATGCGCTCCGGAAGTGCATGGGTGCGGCGCGCGGTGCAAATTTTGTTCGGGCCAGTTTCACCGTGCCCGGGGCCAGCGCCCTGTCGAACTAATTTTTGTTGACTCGGAGAGGCTGGGGAGCCTTCTCTGAAGGGTTTCTTGGCGAGAGGCGCGGCATCCGCACCGCTTCTCTTTCCGTGCCGCTGGGCGAACGGTAGACATTGATGCCGACAGATTTCGCGACAAGGGGGTGGTGCAAGGTGGAGAAAGATGCCGTGGTTTCGCAGCAGCCTGAGTGAGGAGGCGCCGGGGCACATTTTATTCTGCTGTGCGTGTCTTGCGTCCCGGCGGCGCAAATTAGGCTTGGAGAGATTGGGGGTGCCCGGGCGTTGCTTTGGTTGGCTGCT